AAAGATACATGGGAGAAAAGACCTGGAGAAAGTCAAGAAGGGAAAAGAATCTGAAAGACAACAAGAATGAATCTGAAAAAAAAAAGAATGAATCTGAGTGATAAGCTCTCAATCTAGTCCCTCCTGGCCTGGCCCAATCCAGCTCCTGAGACATCTATAGACATCCCTGCTATCTCTGGGTAGGTGTTAGAGTGCTAGTTCAGCATGGAAAGCAAGACCCAAAACAGGACCCAGGCCAAGTAAGGCAGAGGTGAGGGGCCAAGGGCAGCCAAGTATGGTCAGACTGGAAAGATTATGTAGGCGCCAGGAAGAGGCCGGAGAAAGGAAATGGGAGACTTAGAAAAGGGCTGATCAGCATTTGCCATTTCCTCTCCAAAATGGTCATACCCCAGAGTATAAGGAGGAGTACCAGAGCTTCTTTTCCTGTCCAAATGGGACTTTACCCATTTTCTCCAAGATACAAAAGACCTCAAGTCTGCATCCGAACTTAGGTGGCTTTTTTCCTCCACCTCTTTTAGTAAGACAAAGTTAGGTCTAACCAAATCCCTCCTGTTTTAGTACTGTCAACATAGCCCTGAGTGTAACAAGGACATTAGAGACAAGACTTGGATGTTTTCCCTCCTTCTCTACTGTACACCAAGAGAAATGGAATCACAGATGGGGATCATTCAAGGAGGGCCAGGGGAGCATATCCCACAGCTGAGGATCATGGGTGGAGGGGCAGTTTGAGCATGGAGAATTATCCCAATCTCTGACATGGGGACACAGCCCCTCCCTGCAGTGGTCAAGATCAGGTTTGAGGAATCTCTGGATTCCTTCCCCAACATCTTGGCTGCCCAAGGTGATAGTACCTAGCCTCTCAGGTCTTGCAGTAAGGTTGGATCAGTATCTTCCCAATGGCTCCCATTAGGGTTGCAAGGGAACCTCCCTTCCCTTCTACATACAAAGAAACAAATTAAAGCTTGTTGGCTATAAGGCAAAGGTCTTTCTTAGATGATACCAGGAAACTAGAAGAATTTATTTCCAGCTTTGTGGTCCTAAATTACCTCGGGGAAAAGGTGGGCCTCAGTAGGGGAAAGTTCAGTGGAGAAGAGGTCACTACTGGTTTGGCCAGATTAGCTAACTGAGCTATTCCTGTCTAGCTTATTTCTGTTCTCTGTCCTCTGGCCAGAGGTGATATGAGGGGAAATAGAAAAGACTTGCTTCTCTAGCCCCTTCCTCAGTCAGAAATCTATTGGTGGCTTGCTTGATTTGAGTCCTGTAGGCTTGTAGACTGTGACCTTGAACTCTTTTATAGGGGTTTTCTCCTTTCTTCCTAGTTGGTGAATTGCTGATCTTCCTGCTGCTTGAGCCGAAGCAGGTTCTCGGAAATGACTGGCCAAATGCCTGAGGTATCTTTAGCCTGCCTGGGCTGAAAATAAAGTGGGGAAATTCAGCCGATGGAATGAGTTCAGCGAAAGCTGGACACATTCTGCCTTTGTTCTCAGAACCATTTATATACTCTTACAGGTGGATCAACATAAGCCCTACTATGTGAGAGCTAGAAGGGTTCCTAGAGGACATCCAATCTAAATTCATGTTTCACACATGAGGAAATTGATGTGTGGAGACTTACATGACTTTCCCAAGAGCACAAAGTATGTCCTGGTGACACTAGGACCATAAGACAGTGTTTTGCCCAATTAAGATGGAAGCTCTCCTTCCCCTTGGTTAGCTCATAACCAGCCTATACCTACAAGCCACCCTTTCTTCCATTCGGAGTTCAAACAGCAATAAAAATGAATTGAGGGGCCAGGCGTGGTGACTCACGCCTGTAATCCTAGCACTCTGGGAGGCCAAGGCAGGAGGATCGCTCAAGGTTAGGAGTTCGAAACCAGCCTGAAAAAGAGCAAGACTCCATCTCTACTAAAAATACAAAGAAATTAATTGGCCAACTAAAAATATATAGAAAAAATTAGCAGGCTGGGTGTGGTGGCTCACGCCTGTAATCCTAACACTCTGGGAGGCCGAGGTGGGTGGACTGCTCGAGGTCAGGAGTTTGAAACCAGCCTGAGCAAGAGCGAGACCCCATCTCTACTATAAATAGAAAGAAATTCATTGGCCAACTAATATATATATATAAATTAGCCGGGCATGGTGGTGCATGCCTGTCCCAGCTACGAGGGAGGCTAAGGCAGCAGGATTGCTTGAGCTCAGGAGTTTGAGGTTGCTGTGAGCGAGGCTGACGCCAGGGCACTCACTCTAGCCTGGGCAACAAAGTGAGACTCTGTCTCAAAAAAAAAATTAGCTGGGCATGGTGGCACATGCCTGTAGTCCCAGCTACTCAGGAGGCTAAGGTAGAAGGATTGCTTGAGCCCAGGAGTTTGAGGTTGCTGTGAACTAGGCTGACGCCACGGTACTCTAGACTGGACAACAAAGTGAGACTCTGTCTCAAAAAAAAAAATGAATTGAGGAAAAGAACTGTCTTTTCCTTACCAACCCATACATGCCCAATCACCTTAACCATTAGACCCCTGATCCTCCAATTTTCTTTGGCCTCTACTCCCAAGCTAAATGGCATGTTGCATCCAGGTCTGCCATTCAGCCTCCCTCAAACCACTTGAGTCACTGTGCCTGTTTGCAGATTCCACTGTTGAGCTGCCTGCCCAAGGTGGGAGGGGACCATAGGGTAGGGAAGGATAGGATTCTTGCCAGAGAACCTACCCTACCAGGGGCCAGTGCAGTCCAGGCTGTGGGTACGAGAGCAATCTGTTCAGCCTAAACAGGCCCTAGCAGGGGAGTAGTACAGGGCTGAGCAAGCACTGCGTAGGTCCTCTATAAATATTTGCAAGCAGAGCCTTGACCCTAACCTCTCAGATGATCCTCCAGAGAGGACAGGAGCCTGACCTTGTTTACTGGGCCTTAGGCTTCAGCCTTTTTTTGTTTATTTGTTTTTTGAGACAGAGTCTCACTTTGTTGCCCAGGCTAGAGTGAGTACCATGGCATCAGCCTAGCTCACAGCAACCTCAAACTCCTGGGCTCAAGCAATCCTGCTGCCTCAGTCTCCCGAGTAGCTGGGACAGGCATGCACCACCATGCCCGGCTAATTTATATATATATATATTAGTTGGCCAATGAATTTCTTTCTATTTATAGTAGAGACGGGGTCTCACTCTTGCTCAGGCTGGTTTCAAACTCCTGACCTCGAGCAGTCCACCCACCTCGGCCTCCCAGAGTGCTAGGATTACAGGCATGAGCCACCACACCGGCCTAGGCTTCAGCCTTAGCCTGCCTGATAGTACCTATGGAAAGTAGGGGAAAGGTCAATGGAAACAGTCTAGCTCATGCCTGGAACCACTCCAGAATCTGAGAAAGCTGCCGTGTCCTGGGTCTCTGGCTTTCTCCAGCAAGGTCACCTGACAGACAGGGCAGAGTCCAAGAATAGTCTGATCATTCTGACACTTTTGTCTTTGAGGCAGTACAACTGACCCCAAGTGGTCACCCCAACCTTTGTCCTCCTTTCCACAGTTTCATGGGAAAAGGATGTTTGTGTATAGAGGTGGGGGTGGGGGGTGGCTTCAGTCCTCCTCTACTGCTGCTTTTCCAGAATCTTGTTTGTTCTCACTCTTTTATGTTCCCAGGCTAACATAATGTGAGATTTAGGGAGTGACTGTGCCAACATAGACACAGATATAGTTGAGCAGGTTAGGACTGGTATGTATATGTACTACAGGAGAAAGATAAAAGGAAAATTTTCTGTGTCTTGTTTTTTGCTATTTCTTCCTAGCCACAATCACAGGCTCAAGTATAATTACGGGAAACCCCAGTCACAGATCCCTTTCCCCTTTCCCCTACTCCACTCACATAACACCTCAGAGAGATAAAAAAGGAAACATATCAATTATCACAAATTGCCCAATAAATCTGGAATGTTCTGTTTCTATTCCTGTTTCCTTCTCTGTTTTCTTGGCTGTTTCTATCTTAACACTTACTAACAAACTCAAACTAGGCTTTTAAGGTGCTTTCCCTCAAAGGAGTCACAGCCTCTTTTCATTCTTTACAATGAGGTCAGGAATATCCAACCTTAGATTGCCAGTTTCTTTCACTTGATGCTGTAGGAAATTCAATTAGTCTGCCTGAATGCAGTTAAGGAATTTCTTGAAGGTTCTCCTACATCTCATCTTATGCCTTTCAAATCCTCAGTAGGGTCACTCTGATAGCAACTCAGATATCTGTGCAAGCTTCCTCATTCAGTTCCTATTCTGGACACGCAGCTCACCCGTGACTGTTGCATGTCAAGTGGCTGGAACCAATCAGCTCATCTAAGGCTCCCTTAGAAGCCAATCAGAGCCTAGGGAAGTGACCTCACCCAAGGGAGAGCTGTGTGGGCGAGCATCTCTCAGAGCCGTGAGTGTCCCTAAGTCACTCCCCTCCTCCTCACCCTCCTTACTTCCTGTAAAACAACACCGCCTACCCCCACCCCTCAAAGAAAGGGAGTGAGAAAAGCTAACTAAGTTCCACAAAGGGAAGAACCAAAAGAGAAGCTGCAACTCAGCCACACACTCGTTTCTGCAAGTGGAGAATAGGATATTTAGAGGGCTGCTTTTGCACAGATTATCTTTCAAAATGGGGTCTCCAAGGCCTGGAAGAGGGAATATGCTGAATAAGAGTTGGCTCCTCCTACCAACTCCCTCCCTGCACCTGGCTTTCTTGACTCTCTCCACAAAAATAGCTGTAATCATTCTTTGTAAATAAGGACAAGATCAAGGTCAAGTGTGGGAAAGAGAGGGCCTGTGTGCTTGTGAACATGTGAGAACAGAAACAATCATGTCCCTGTGGCCTAAAGGACCAGAGGCTCAGAAGCCAGTGGGTCTGCAGGGAACATGGCCTGTTCTTTTCTGCAACTGACTCTGCATAGCCCTGCAGATGAGGTCCTCAGTGTTCCATGGCAGGACTGGATTTCAGGTATATTTCCCACATGGGCATAAGATGGCAGGCACAAAGGACAAGAGGCTAAACCCTCCGGAGTGTGTCACACTTTACTCTGCTCAGCTAGGCATCCCCTTCATCCCTCCAGCCCTTTTCCACCAGGCCACATCCAGGACAGACAGATAAAAACACTTTATTTAAAAATATAAAACTGGCCTTACTCCTCCTAACTGCTCCCATCCCCAATTATCTCCACAAAGAGCTGTAAAAATTAGGTAGGAGTATGTGTACAGCTGTCTCAGCTCTAGCAACCCCAGTTCTTTCTACTCTTCTTTCTCCCTTCATACAATTGAGACATTTGTCCTTTGCACCTTCCCCAAGATATGAGAGGTGCTACAAAGGTGGAAGGAGGGAAGGGTAGAAAAGAGGCTGTCATCACTCTCTATTCCTATCTCCTCCATTTGGTCTGAACCAAATGATTTACTTGTCCACAAAACCAAATAACAGGGACAATTACTCTCTGTATCTCCAAATCAAGAAAGATATGTGGGTCCAGGGTATTATTTGGAGTACTTCTTCAGTATATAGCCTCATCCATATTGTCATCACTGTCACCTCCAAAGTCTTCTCCATTGTCAAAATATGACATGATATAATCAGTTTCCTGAAATGGAAAAAAAGAAGTAGGAGTCAGGTCTGCTTTTGGCATTCTCCTTCCTCCCTGTGCACCAGGCCTGGATATCCCTTCCAGCTGTGGTTCATTTCTGAGAAGAGCCTGGGGACAGATGAAATGGATGGAAGCCCCTACCTTTGGGGGCGCTATCTCCTTTAGCCCTCCACCCCTCTGAGGAGTACACTCCTGCCGTAAAGAATAGAGATCCCCAGAGTTTACAAGGAGAAGAGAGGGGGGCTAAGGTGGAAGGAAACTCCCTTCACCTCTTCATGTTCTTCTTCATCATACTCTTCTTCTTCTTCCTCTTCCTTCTCTTCTTCTTCTTCTTTCTCCTCATCTTCCTCTGAAGTCACTTCTTCTTCCTTCTTCTCCAGGGTCTCATGTGAAGATAAATAAGAAGAGAAACTCAGATTCAGCTCACAGTAGGGAAAAATTGAGGAACACATGGGGACAAAGAGAGAAGGAATGGATCTAGGTCTCAGGAGGTCTCTATGCACACTTTCTCCTCACCTCTAGTTTCTGTATTGTTTCCTCTTTATCTTCTGTGGTCTTAGGGGGCCTCTTGGGGAGTAGAATGGTGATCCCTGGTGGGAGGATCAAAAGGTGAACCGTCAGAGACCAAATCTTGCTAGCTTCCCATCCTCCTGCAGAGAACATGTCACTCTGCTGCCCTCGTGTGGCCACTATGGCATCCAGCGACAACACTTGGTAGATTGGGTAGGAATTGGGAGGACAGGGGAGACCACCAGCAGACTTGGCCCTCCAGCAGACAGAGGAAACTTCTATTCTCTACTTCTTGTTTCCAGATAACACTCACGCTCCTTCTGTAGCTTCCGCACTCGGATCTTTAGCTCCCGGGGTAGACGCCGCCAATCTGGGAATAGTAGGAATGTGAATGTCAATAGAACCCTGCCTGGTGTCTCCTATGAATGATGACTGGTTTTATTTAAAGGACAGGTGAGGGTTTTAATGGAGAGGAAGGAAGGGGCTGGGTCAAAGTTGCTCGGACCAAAATTGTGGCTTAGATGCCTCCTGAAGAATGGGAGTTATTTAATAGGTCTTTCAGGTACAGTCTGAGAGTGTTTCAGAAGATAACTACGGCTCTAGTTTGCAGACAATGGATGGGGGAGGAGGATGGAAACACCAGCAGTGGTGGCGGAGACTTAAGGCCAACTCAAGGATTTGAAAGAAGGGCAGTCAATGAAAGGGCCAATCACCTACCAGGGTTCCAATCGATGGCATTGTCAATCGGTCCTGACATCTGATATTTGTCTGAGTAACGCTCCACATCTGAGGGGTCAGAGGTCAAGAGTCAAAGTTATATCCCTTCAGAGCCCTAGAACAGGGCTGTTTCTGAGGGTCCAGCCCTCTTAATTATCAGGAATTATCTGTCTCCTCACCCCAAACCCACAGCCCAGGATGTTAGCTTAAGTGAGGATCTCATCACTTTTCTTTTTTTATTTTTGGAGACAGGGTCTTGTTCTGTTGCCCAGGCTAGAGTACAGTGGCATCATCATCACTACAGCTTCAAACTCATGGGCTCAAGAGATCCTCCCACCTCAGCCTCTCCAGTAACCCTCATCATTCTTCTAACCTGCCCTCTTGCCACCCAAAACTATGATGATACTTTTTCTCTCTTATCTCAAAGGCATAGCCATATTGAGTAGTGTGGTACAATGGAAAGTATACCAGGAACAAGAAAATAGGGTTTTAGGCTTCTCTTTACTCTTTGTTAACAGGTTAACTTAGGTCTTTTTTTTTGAGACAGAGTCTCACTTTGTTGCCCAGGCTAGAGTGAGTGCCATGGTGTCAGCCTAGCTCACAGCAACCTCAAACTCCTGGGCTCAAGCAATCCTACTGCCTCAGCCTCCCAAGTAGCTGGGACTGCAGGCATGTGCCACCATGCCTAGCTAATTTTTTCTACCTATTAGTTGGCCAATTAATTTCTATTATTATAGTAGAGACGGGGGCTCGCTCTTGCTCAGGCTGGTTTTGAACCCCTGACCTTGAGCAATCCACCGGCCTCGGCCTCTCAGAGTGCTAGGATTACAGGCGTGAACCACCATGCCAGGCCTGACTTAGGTCTTTTATCTCTCTGAGACTCAGCTTCCAGGGCTTTAGTAGGAAGGCACCAGTTGTCAATATACTGAAATACTGTACTTCCACACTAGTTGGTAAATGTCCACTGTCCCAAGCTTCCTAATAGTGTTCCCTTCCTCCAGTCCCTCCTAGTCTCCCCAACCTCCCCATGATCCACTAAACAAAGCATTAATACTTTATTTAGATGGGGTTCTCAGAGACTAGGCACCAGCCCCCTTCTGATGGGTTGGTGCTCCAGATTATAAAAATTTTTAATACATCCTCCCATTTATATGTGTGAAATGAGATCTTAATATTTAACCTCCCACTGTTCCAAGACTATTGTGAGACCCAAAACAAACCATGAATACTATAATACATTTCAGATGAAGGAGTCATTATTGTCATCCCCCAGTTAGTGCACTTCCTGGGCCTCTCTGGCCCCCAGTAGTGCTGAGCACAGGGCACTGCCCATAGGAGGCACTCAGAACATGATGCCAGCATTCCAACTGACCTCTTTTGGGGACAGCTGGCCGGATGAAGTAGGGGAGCTGCCTCATGGCTCCTCGTAGCTCCTGCTTCAGTGCTAGAACATATTCCCCTTCCTCTCCTGAGGGCAGAGGCACTGGGCGGAATTCCAAGGGCTAAAGAGGCAGGAGCAGTGGTCACTTCAGGGAGAAAACACTGAGTACAAATCTGGGAGGGCCTCTCCTCCCAACTTAATCCAATGCTCCCACTAAGCAGAGGGTCAAAATGAGAATTGGGAAGCAATGTAGCATTTTGAAAGCTGGGGACCTGGCAATGTGAGAAGTAAGGGTAAGATACTTTTTGGCCTGGAAAACATCCCTGTGAGTTGGGAGTATAGAGACAGGGAGGGGCAAGATGAAGATGGTTTTATGACAGTTCAGAAGAAATCCAGGATCATAAACAGTTATCAAGGGGTATGCGGAAATCTTTGGAAGGGAGGGGAGACACTCACAGGGAAGAGTGGAGAAGGCTGCAGGGTGGGTGGGGGCAAAGCATCCCCCTTCCCAATGCCCACGGCTTCCATGTTGAAGGTCAACTGGCCCCGGCCACGACCCCGGCCCCCACCCCGGCTGGCCATGGTGGACAGCGCGTGGGTATTTAGAGATCCAGCAAGAAAAACCTGATAAATACAAGAACAAAGAGAAAAAGAAGTACAGTTGAATGAACAGGAAACCAAGGAAGTACAAGACACTCATTTTTCTTTCCCTGGGACTTGAAAAGCCATTATCATTCAATTAATTCAGACTGATAAGGCATAGTACCAGACAAGGAATTTCTTTTTTTTAGACAGAGTCTCACTCTGTTGCCTGGGTAGAGTACAGTGACATCATTAAAGCTCACTGCAACCTCAGACTTCTGGGCTTAAGCAATCCTTCTGCTTCAGCCTCCCTAGCAGCTGGGACTACAGGATTGTGCCACCAGGCCAGGCTAATTTTTTCTATTTTTGGTGGAGATGGGGTCTCATGCTTGCTCAGGCTGGTCTTGTACTCTTGATCTCAAGCAATCCTCCCACCTCTGCCTCATAGAGTGCTAGCATACAGGCATGAGCCACTGCACCCAGCAACAGTCAGGGAATTTCTGAAAATATAAACATGGATGAGACATGGTCCCAACAGGATAGATAATTGCAATATAGTGTAATTGCAGCACAAAAGAGAAAGTGATTAGATATTTATTTATTTATTGATTGAGACAGAGTCTCGCTTTGTTGCCCAGGCTACAGTGAGTGCCGTGGCATCAGTCTAGCTCACAGCAACCTCAAACTCCTGGGCTCAAGCAATCCTTCTGCCTCAGCCTCCCTCTGCCTCAGCCTCCCAATCCTTCTGCCTCAGCCTCCCATGCCTGGCTAATTTTTTCTATATATATTAGTTGGCCAATTAATTTCTTTCTATTTTTAGTAGTGATGGGGTCTCGCTCTTGCTCACGCTGGTTTCGAACTCCTGACCTCAAGCTATCCGCCCACCTGGCCTCCCAGAGTGCTAGGATTACAGGTGTGAGCCACCACACCCGGCCTAGATCCTTAGATAAAACTTTTTTACATCCCTAAGACAATCTGATGGTTATCACTATCTGCATTTCTACATATTAATATAATCTTTGAATTCTTTCTCTCCATGGCTTTCCAAACCCAATCAGGCTCCAGTTCAATCCAATGCAATGTATTTCAGCAAAACATTTATTAATATTAAGCATCTAACAAGAAAAAGGTAGTGTGCTGGGCACTGTGGGAGCACAAGGATGAGTCACCAGTTTCATTGTCAACCAGGGGAAAAGAGACATTACAATCAAATTGTTCTTTTAAAATGGCAATTGGAAGCACAGAATTTTAGAATTGAGAGGACTCTTAGAGATCATCTAGTCCAAACCCCCTCCCAGTGCAGGACTCCATTCTGTAAATTGTTAGTTATATAGTTTATAAGTGGCATTTTCCTAAAGACAAGGTGTCCATTCTCCCCCAAGACAGCCCATTGTACTGTGATCAACTCTGATGATAGAAAGTTGCTCCTTCCACTGAACTGAATTCTGCCTTTTGTCATCAATCCTACCAGTCAGAGGCAGCTAGGATGGGGGATAAAATCAACAAATGAAAATGAAACTTGAAAGAAATGACATTCCAGTAGCAATGAGCACACCTACCACCCAGATCTTGGTTTCTAATACTATTTTCCAAAAAAGGAACCAGGGATCCTTAGAGAAATGGTTGATTCTAAGACAGGGTAGGAAATATACAACATGAGCCTGGAGCATGTTGAGTCATCTGAAAATAAGAAAGTGCTCAAAACAACAACAACCACAGTCACATATTGATGGGACTATGTCAAAGGGCATAAGATCAACTGAAAGAGCTCCCAATGTCCAAAACTAGAATAATTTGAGCAAAAAAATAAAGTAGTATTGAATTATAACATGAAAGTATGAGATATTCATGAATCCATAGTGATATAAATAAATGACTGAATTAATACATGGGGAAGAAAAGACATATCATTCATGCAGAATTCCAAATAAATTATGTAGATACTCCACTCTAAAAGTACAGGAACGTGACTATCCACTCCTTAAGTGTGGACTGTATAAAGAATTTTGTCCAAGACAATTTTGGAAATCAGAGAGGGGGATTTATAGTAGAGAGACTGGACAAACACTACTTCAGCCAGGTGACCAAGGTCAACATTAAGTCATAAATTATGTTGATAGTATGTGCCCTTAATATTATATGATGAAATGTACCTCTGTGCTCATCCTCCCAAAAACACATAACTTCAGTCTAATAATGAGAAAAAATATCAGACAAATTCCAACAGAGGTGTATTTGACAATACACTTCACTCCTCAAAACTGTTAAGGTCATCAAAACCAGAAAAGTCTGGCCAGGTGTAAGTCACGCCTGTAATCCTAGCACTCTGGGAGGCCGAGGCGGGAGGATCACTCGAGGTCAGGAGTTCGAGACCAGCCTAAGAAAGAGCAAGACCCTGTCTCTACTAAAAATAGAAATAAATTAGTAGGACAACTAAAAATATATGGAAAAAATTAGGCAGGCATGGTGACACATGCCTGTAGTCCCAGCTACTCAGGAGGCTGAGGCAGAAGGATTGCTTGAGTCCAGGAGTTTGAGGTTGCTGTGAGCTAGGCTGACGCCATGGCACTGTAGCCTGGGCAACAAAGCCAGACTATGTCTCAAAAAAAAAAAAAAGGAAAGTCTGAGAAACTGTAGCATTTAAGAGGAGCCTAAGGAGACATGACAAACTAAATATAATGTGGTATCCTAGATAGGATCCAGGTACAGGAAAAGAACATTAGGTAAAAATCAAAGAAATCTGAATCAAGTATGAACCTTACTTAATAATAATGTATCAGTATTGGTTCATTAATTGTAACAAATGTACTATACTAATATACAATGTTAATAATAGGGGAAACTGTGCCAGAGATATATGGGAACTCTTGGTATTATCTGCTCAATTTTTCTGTAAATCTAAAATTGTTCTAAAAAATAAATCTATTTTAATAAAAAAAGAAATGAGTAGCAATTCAAAACTCACAAAATATTAGTTGGCAGAAAAAAGATTTTAAGATAATATGTAGAAGGTAATCTATTTTGTCAAAAATAAAAACACACATATATAAATTAAAAAGCTGTTCTTGAAGGATATACACCAAAAATTAAAATGGTTAATTTGAGGTGATGGAATTTTTCTGAGGATTTTTTATTTTTTGGTTATGCATATTTTAGGGTTTTTTTCTATGCTGAATAGGTACTGCTATTGTAATAAGAGAAGAATATTCACTTAAAAATTTAAAAATATGGTGATAAAATAGTAGATGAGAATAATAATTTGTAGGTAGAATGAGACAGTAGAAAAATGTATATCGGAGGAATGTGGAAAGTTTCAAGTCTAACAGCCATGAAAAATTTGAGAAAAATGGCTATCAGTTAACAGATTAAACTGTGACTTATTTGAAAAGAACAAAATTGGAAAGACAAGAGGTCTTGTGGAAATTACAGAAAGAGTAAGAATTTGTCATCATGTCCTCAGTCTCTTTCAAGGAAAAAGACACTCTAACCAGCTGGCTTAGGTATCTTTCCACTTGATAGATACAGTTCTAGCAGTGAAGATAGGAACTGCTTTGATTGCAAAGTAAAGAGGAGTTAAGAAAAGGCCAAGAGCTTTGAGGTTATACAAATCCAACACCATTTCTACATATTAACACATTAACTACCATATGAGTTGTATTTAACTCACACTAGTTTTGAGCCTGGGGCCTTGTGAAGCATACGTAACTCAGACATCTCTTTACCTTGGGAGTCACAGGGTTCAAGGGGAACTCATGTTGCCATGCTGTAGCATACATGTTACATGATGGGTGGCCCGGGGGCAAAACTCTGCAGTTGGTTCGTGAAAATCTTACTTATTGAGGTTCTTATCATTACAATTAATATTGACAATTTAATTGCATATAACTCACACCGAAAACAATAAAAAATAACAAATTTTTCATTAGATTGGAAAGGATCATTTGTTTTCAAAGTGTGTTTTTGTTTGTGGTTTTTTTTAGGCAGAATTTTGCTCTGTCACCCTGGCTAGAGTGCAGTGGTGTCACTTTGTATGTTCAGCATACAAACAATATTTCAAGTCATGGCTGGGCGTGGTGGTTCACGCCTGTAATCCTAGCACTCTGGGAGGCCGAGGTGGGCGGATAGCTTGAGGTCAGGAGTTCGAAACCAGCCTGAGCAAGAGTGAGACCCCCATCTCTACTAAAAATAGAAAGAAATTAATTGGCCAACTAATATATACAGAAAAAATTAGCCAGGCATGGGAGGCTGAGGCAGAAGGATTGGGAGGCTGAGGCAGAGGGAGGCTGAGGCAGAAGGATTACTTGAGCCCAGGAGTTTGAGGTTGCTGTGAGCTAGGCTGACTCCACGGTACTCACTGTAGCCTGGGCAACAAAGCGAGACTTTGTCTCAAAAAAAAAAATTTTCAAGTCATGAAACTGGGTGAGATTCCTAAAGATGTGGATGTGGACAGAAAAAAAAAGAAATCCAGAGACTGAAAATTGGTGCACTCTAATATTTAGAGTTTGCTATATTTGTAATAAATAAAACAAGAAGGTAATACTCATATATTAGAATTCTTGAGAAAAATAATCATCCCAATAGAAAAAGTGGGCAAAGGACATGAACAGGCAATAGACAGAAGAATGGCCAATAAAAACCACTCTTCACCTATCAAATTGACAATGATTTCAATAATAATCAGGCTGTTATGAATTGTTTTCGTATGGAAATTCTTATACTTCACCGGAAAACTAAAAACACAATCTTTCAAGGGGAGTAGTTTGACCACTGCAATCAACAATCTTTTATATGTTTATATACTTAATTCAGTAATCCTACTTTAAAAATCTATCCCAAAGAAATCATCAGATATGCATGCAGAGATTTAAGTACAGGGATGTTCATCAAAGAGCTATTTATGATAGCAAAAATTCTGAAATAACCAAAATGGTCCAACAACAAATGAATGGTTAAAAAAATAAAATATCCATCTTAGACTATTATGAAGCCATAAAAACCATGACTCCTAATAATATTTAAAGGCAGAAAAATGTTCACAATAT